GCATGGAGTTGCCATGTAATGAGATAAATTATCACCTGATGTACTAAAACCAAAACGGAAGGACAAGTGATGTGACTCGGACATTCCTGTCATTACCTCAGATTCACCAGTACTCATTGTGTTGCTTTCCTGTATTAGAAAAACTGTAGTATTTGATCAGTTGGCTAATTCTCCAAGATGAAACATATTTAAAACCAAGGTATGTAAAAGTCAATTTGGAAAGTTTTCTGGCCCTGAAAACAGAGAACTGAAAATCTACATTTGTCTTGTCTCCTTTCTCTGAATGGTGTTTCTTTTCCAGAGTAAGAACAAAAGAACATGCTCTATGTAAAGAATTGATTCAGTGAATGACAGCAGCCACTTGATTGGACAGTGTGTGTGAGATGTGCTGAGGTGTTTATAACAGTATCTCAGGAAATGTTGACCCTCCTTTCTTTTTGACTTGTCTGTCTGGATTTAAGTCACTCACCAAAGGATAGAAGGTTTGACCTTACTTTATTTCTTCTGTGAATCAAAACATTTCAAATTATGTTTCATTGTTCATAATGACATTTGAAGGATCAAATTGTATAGATGCCGATGTTTGGAATGGGTTTAAACTGTGGACTTCGTAGACACACTGTGTGTGTGTGTTTGTGTGTGTGTGTGTGTGTGTGTGTGTTTGTGTGAGCATGCCTGTTTAGGTAACAGAGAGAGGGTTGGCACAATTGGTGAAAGAAAATCAGATCGATTAGCTACTAAAGCCTTGTAGTAGGTGCACAATTGTTACTTTGCAATAGAAAACTGACAGCTATTCATATTGTACAACTGTTCTCTGACCTACAAAGAAGCTTTTAACTAGTTATTACTTTCTGAAAGAACTACCTTGAATAAAGACAAAAAAGGTGACTTCTTCATGAAAGATCACATCCAAACTGGTTATGTCTACTGAAATTTTGTTTATTTTACCTGCAACATTGGGATTTTAAATTGGAATTTAAACATTGGGATTGTGTATTACAATTTTGCAATAGGCAAACAAGCTTGCATCACTGATGCATCATGGTTACGTCAGGAGACCAAGCGGTGTCATCACATGCAGGATGGAGCCTTATAAATGGTCCGATCTAGCCTAATGCTTTTGTGTTGCTCTTTTACTAAGCCCCACTGCATTTGGTTAGGTGTGATTTATAAATTTACCCTAAAATAAACTTTTTATATCTTAAACCAAGGATTTGAACTGAGTTTACTCAGAACTTTGTCTTCCCACTACTCCAAGGTCTTTGCTCAAACTGGTTAGTGTTGGGCTCTGTAGGATATAACTCGTAGCTACTACCTCAACATTTTATGTTACATCAGACCCACTGTGAATGTGTATGCTACCTGTCAATTAATTGCCCTACATAACATCTTCATTTGTACAGTGCCAAGGCCAAATCTATGTTTACTCTTGCTCCTTAAAGTGAAGGATTTCTAAGAGTATCCCTTTTTGGCTACTTGTTGTCACCATCATGCAGAGTAATATTTTGGAATAAATATGAGCCCAAAATAATAATTGGTTCTCTAAACAAAGTTAACAACAATTTAACCAATTTAAACTTCAATTAATTTTATAGAAAGAGATGGGTTTTGCTGGCATTCTTCTTATTATTTTGTAGTATTGAGGATTGAACCTAGGGCATCTGCACTGAGCTATTCCCATAGCCATTACTTATTTATATATTTATTTATGTATTTATTTTTGAGACAGGGTCTTGCTAAGTCTCTAAGTTGCCCCAGCTCATCTCAAACTTGTGATCTTCCAGCCTCGGCCTCTCAGAGAGCTGAAATTACAGGTATGTGACACAACACCCGGCTTCATAATTATATTTTATAATGTTATCAATGGTGTAACTGGGAGACACAATGGAATATAATAAAACATATCATTTATGTATCCTTCCATAGCATAGAGTGCAAAATCATTAAAGTCCAATAGAATATTATAATATCAAATTATTTGGTGGTATAGAAGAGATTTTGAAATATACTTTGAAAGACTGTAGTTCCAGTGAAATTATCCAAATTTTCATTATTTTGATATACACCAAAAAAATATTTATATTGCAAAAGAAATATAAAATGGTCATTGATATTAAGTATAGCAACATACTTAAAACAGCACAAATCAGTGGTTCCACCGCCTGCCTCACAAGTGCAAGGTCCCAAGTTCGATCCCCAGCACCAAAAAAAAAGCACAAAAAACAATTACATGAACTCTATTAAGATCATTAATTGGCTTATGTATTTAATAAGTTGATGTCTGCAGAGCTGAAAAGCTAACTGTGATTCAAGTTAATGTACTATTGTTTGTGAAATGAGATTAGAAAAATTAAGATCAAAAGTAACCACTGTTTCCTCACCCTCCTCCTATTCATTTCTTTCTTCTTTCATCAGTTCTGATTTTCTGGTAGTGTATTATCCTTTACATCATATGAGAGTATTCAGCTGAAAAAAAAGATACTTTAATCCCTTTATGATATTTTAAGTCTTTTTGGAAATAAATCGCTTAATTTCTTTCTCAATACGTTTTTGAAAACTTTTATACAATCTCTAGCTGCTCAATGATATTACCAAGTGAAAGGTCTCAGAGGAGTTATTTCATTTTGAATTTTCTAGGATGGAAAAGAAATAGACACAATGGGAACTTATGAGAAAAAGTATTTCTAGAAGTCTTGAACTATTGAATTCTATTCTATGTGACTGAAGGATGGTTCATAGTTTTAACTTCCAATAAGGGATATATCTGTTGAACTCAAAGGAGGTAGAAGAAAAATTATATATATTTCTGATCAAAGCAGATAGCCAGTTCCAGTCTAGACTTCAACTTGATTGGATATTTTCCAGCCTTATCTGTGGCTGTATTATTCACTCACTTGCTACACATTTCCCCCAGTACAAACTTGGTAGATTATTCACTAACCAAAAGAACACAGATAGTCCCAAACTCTTCTAATCAAATCCTCTATTCTACAACAGAACCTTAATTATAACTGAGGACAATTAACAGTCTCCCCCATGGGTCTACACTTTTCCCCACCTTTAGACAAGAGCCATTCACTTTTCAGAAGCAGAAAATTGAGTAGCACAGTAACATCAGAGCTCAGCAGTGAGAAGCTGGAGGAAAGCTAGAAGAAAAACTTCACAGGAATTTTAAGTTAACAAAATTTTAAATCCCAGCAGTCTCCAGGAGGAAAAATACAACTCAAATATTTATGGAACAACAAAAGGTCAACATGTGCTGAAGTGGCAGATGGAATGAAAGCTGACTCAAAGGGTTCTCCAGTTGCTTCCTGCAGGAAGACCACCCAAAATGACACAGAAAGATGAAATCCTATTCCACAACCATCCTTTGTACTGCAGACTAAGCATAAGTTAGCAAAACTGTGTTGCCATTCAGTTTTGCTCTCTTAAGTATATAGCAATTCTAATGGATAAGTCAATTTTTCTAGATACATCACTTCAGTAAATCAAATTCTAAATGGTAGGAAGCAAATTCTATAGTACTAAATGTAAAATTTAAATTAAATGAAATATATTCCTAAGGTACACACAAATGATCTGAAATTATAATACTTACATTTTGCATAGAAACCAAGTTTCTTTCCTTGTATTAGAATGAATAATCAAGACTTAGATGACTTTCTCTCGTTTTTACTAGAAACACTACGTGAAACATCACAGTGGTGAAAATGTCAAGTGGACAGTCAAAAAATCTCTACATCTTAACTTTTTTACAGAGTGGTATTTTAAAAATAGCAAGTAGATGAGCAAATGATAGAATTTTACCTGTAGTCTGTTTTATGGCTTTTTTTTACTCAGGATGTACCAGATTGTAGAATCAATGCTAAAACCAAATAAAACAAAAATGCTACTTTTTTTTCATTAGTTTCAAAGTATAGTACTCAGTGTAGGTTTAAACAATACCTTGAACTAAAAATAGCATCAACTATGCAATTATTTTATATAGCCACATCTCTTAATAAATGACATTTTAATTTTGGCTGTTAACTAGCTAGTTTCGGGATCTTGGCTAAATCACTTAACTTGTGGTCCTTGTAGTCCTCAAGTGGAAAGTAAATGGTTTAGCTTCACAATCACTGAACTCTTGTATGGCTCTCACCATCTCAATTTTATGATGTTTCTCACGAATTGCTTCTTTTAATCTTCAGGACCATCTGTGGTGAGAGGGTTAGAAAATATGATTCTGTGAAAGTGAAATGGTTAGGAAAATCCTAAGCTGAGAAGTTTGATTTCCAGGCTTCTGGTACAGTGTCTGAGGTCTCATATCATACTGGACACATGAGCCCTGGACAAACTGGGGACAGGCTTGCTCAGGTGAGCTTAGTGATGCTGGAGAAATTGTTCCATGCCCCTAAATTGTGATTTTCTTATCTATAAAACTGGAATATAACCTCACACAGCCACAGGATAGTTAGCATATAATAAAATCCTCAGGGCTAAATTTTATCCTACACTAAAGGAAATAGGTAATATATAACCATGTTGTAGAACAACAATTTTAACAAGATTAAAATTCTCTTATCAGTTTGCAACTTAAGACCCCAGATTTCTTTGTTACCAACTCCTACACGTGTTACACCAACATTTCTTAGAAGAACAGGGTTGTGCTTTTAACTACAACCAGAATTAGAGAATCAGGGTCTTATAAAAACATCCATTTTTACCAAATGACCTACTTAGGCAGGGAATCAGCAATTATGCTCTCCTTGGAATAGTTCCTAGAACCTTTTTCCATAGTTCAATAATCAAAGAAAACAAAACTTTGTCATCTTTTTGAACATGGTATATGTGGTGATACAAGCTAACTTTATTTAACTACCAGAAATTATTATTCATTAAAATAATGTAACTCTCTGATGCTCAACCTCTACTCTTCAACTTTTCTCCTGTTTCTGTTAAAATCTCAGAGTTTAACTGCTATTGTTGTAGAAGATTTAAAAAGAAGCTTATGCAACGTATTTGTTATCAATGCTTTATTGTTGAAAACGAAATTGAAATTCTCTGGCACATAAAACAATTATTTCTACAAAAGGAAAGCCTACAAATCTTGATAATTTATACAAATAACATTTTTTCAAAAAATAAAATTTTAATTTAGTAAACTTGTCTTGTGCTCTATATTTTTAGCACTGTCTGCAATAATCCACCATAAATCCCTGAGCGGAGACATTTTTTTGATCATGTTCTAATGCCCCCCCAACCCTCCCCCCACCCCCGAGTTGGTCAGTTACTAAGTCCAGGCCCGTAGTGAAAAGTGTCAGGGACATTTAGTTAGTAAAAATCCATGCATTTTTTATGACACAGGCCCAATTATTAATGCTACTTGGGAACTGAGCCACATGAAGTGCCTCTACTGTGTATTCAGTGAACCTATTAAGAAACAAGTGTTGGAAATAAGAATACAATAAAAAGACATAAAATGTTAAGACTAGGAAGTCATAAGTCATAACTATTTAATAAATAAAATGTTAGACACCGAATTTATTTGTATAGCCGTATATTAAATCCCTCCCCTTTTTTTTCTAATTGCCAATGCACTAGAAGATGAAAAATACACTTCAACCCACTATTTTGGTTTGACCATGGGTAGGCTGTTGTTAAACGTTAAATATCATCCTGAACACACAGTGATTTAGTTATAATTTAACTTCTGGCCCTTCAATGAAATGTTTACAAAATAATATACATATTATAGGAGGGCCTTCATATTAATGCCATCAAAAAAATCTCTCTCACTACATGTGCCCTTCTCACAAAGACACCAATGCCATAGGAACACTACTTTAATTTCTTTATCCCACTGTACTCAGATAAACATATAAAATAGGAAAAAAACTGTAATATAATATATTTGTGTGTCCAGCTTCCCTTTAATGGAAACAGTGATCATATATACATGGAGTGTGAAAGGGAAGGAGAAAAAGCTAATTTTCAATTGCAAAGAACTGGCTTAATGAATCAAATTCTTTGTTATTCTGCTATGCTAGAATAATAAATAAATAAATAGGTAGGGTATAGTACAGCTAATTTCTCTATGAAGAGGTTGAAAATGGGCCGGTGTTTTATGAGATCAATTTTTAGTAGTAAAATTTGTCTGCAAGCCCAAAATGTTCAATAAATGTTTTTCTCTACTTCATTTACATGGTCTTTTTTTTCTCATGAAAGATCACTGAAGTGTTTAATAATGAGTAATGAAAGAAAATATACAATTTACTAGTGAAACATAGTTTTACAAATAAGAAAAGGACTTGGCAGAATACCTAGTCACACACAGGCTAATCCTATACTTTACTGCAGGTTAAAAGAAGTCATTTTTGACATCTTTCCATAAGAGCAAAATGTGGTAAAAATACTTTCTTGCAAATTTATCTGCACTATTGTTCAGATACCTATTAGAATCTCGTTAGGATTTTATAGCAACTATTTGCAAAACACAAAATCAGTGGCAATCATGATCACATATTCCTTTGCATAGCCTTTATTTTTTAACCAGAAAAATCTGGAAATCAAAATGTACCTTCTCTAAACACGACTGGTCAGCAAAACTGGAACACTAAGTGTGCAGATTCGCCAAGAATAGCCATTTTTAAAGGTAATTTCAAAAGAATTAATACAATGAATTCTACTAGGTGGTTTTGGGAAAAATACTGACAACACTAAAAAAACTACCAGCCAGATACACATAAGGCCTCTCCAGCCTCTTTTCCAACACCAGTGCGAAGCGTGTGCTCTTCTCTCCATATCCTTTTCAGACCAGGAAAAGCAAGTGAAGTTCAAAAGTGTGAAGCTGGTGACATTCAAATTGTACAACATTATGTGTACCAGTTGAGAAACAAGCACAGACGCTGACAGATCCTGACACAATATGAAACAAACAAGCAAACAAACCAACAGAAGTTTTCTAACCTTGAGAAATTATAAGCAGGCTGTCCCAAAGAGGGAAGACAGCAGCATTAGGACAGCCACGGGGCTCACTGGGTTTCAGGCTGTTTTCATTTCTCCCTATTAACACTTAACCTCAATAGTTTACTGTGGCTGCATGGACATTCTGACTTCCTCTCACAGTGTTTAAGGAACATTATAGTTTCAAAGTTAGCTTTCAAACAAAGGAAGAAAATTTGTAATTTAGGTAACACCCCCCTCCCTTTTAAGAATGCCAAAAGATCCCATTTAAGTGCTCTGGTTTGCAGTCTGTGGATAACAATTACATCCTCCTGGAGGTTTCCAATGTTCCCCTTTTTGGTGTTAATGGCTGTGCCAACAGCGAAGTGGATTCAGTGACTTCAATGACCTCTGCCTGAGTCTTGAAGCCTAAAATGAGCTCTGATCATAGCACTGCTGGAAAGTTTTGTCTGTTAATGAAGCCAGCTTTATTAAAGGGAGGAGGATGGGGTTTCTGTCCTCCTGTGTCAGGTCTTGGAAGTCTTTAAGCCTTGCTTTTCCATGATGTTCCACAGCTTGCGAAGATTGGACTGCGTGATGACATCATCTGGCTTGAGCTGCAGGGCGCGCAGGTAGTTGGCCTCCGCTTTCTGGAGTCGGCCATTGAGGTGCAGGATCGCTCCCAGGTTCATCAGAGCTGCTGGATACTGCAACCAGGGAAAGGGAGTCAAACAATTATGAGTCTTTCAAGGGAAACTCAAATCTTCCACTTATGCAAATGGTTCCTTTATGTCTACAGGCATTTGGAGGAAGCAATTTATACAAATAAATATAACTAGAAAAAATAGTTTTTGAACATCTGATATGTACTCTGCTTTAAACAGGACAGGCAGCTAGGAAATGGAATTTTTCTTTAGTGAAAAAGTATAGGTAACACATAAAGAACTAATAACCTCATTCTGTTTAAAATTTTTGGAATAAAAGTTTCAGGTGAAACTATCTCAGATACAAAATAAAACTTTTTTAAAATTCAGAGACAAAATAAAAATTAAATGAAAAATCCATATCGACCCATTTTATCATTTCTTAGCAATATCATAGCTTTTTATGAAAAACATTAAACTACAAAGTAATACTGATGATTTCAGAGTAACAACCCTGAAAAAATTCAAATACAACCAGTATTTGAACAAAGAACAAAGTTCTTTCCAAACCTAAGAATTTTACCAAGACAAAGTCCTTTTCTTTTGTTTTTATTAATTATATTGGTACATTTAAGGTATACAATATGATGACATTCATCATTGGGAATTTGCACCTTTACATAATCCTTCTTGGTTTTTATTTTTTCCCCATTCCCCTGCCCTCCCTTCAACCCCTCCACCCCACCCTATCTACAAAGACTTTGTTTCCATTTTACTTCTTCTCATATTAATTCCTTTCCCTTCTTTCCTTTCCCCTACCCCTCCCACTTCCCCTTTGCACCTTTTCTTCCTATTTCACATTATCTATTATACCTTTTAGTCCTCATTTACACTTTCAGTTTCTCACACTAAAGAAACTATTCGGTATTTACACATATGTGTCCTATTTATTTCACTTGAGAGTATGGCCTCAATATGCATCCATTTAGCTATAAATGTCTCTAGTTTCTCATTCTTTATGGCTGAGTAGTACTCCATTTTATTAAAAAAACACATTTTCTTTATCCAGTCTCCAGTTGATGGGTAATTGGGCTGTTTCCAAGTTTTAGCTATTACGAATTGTGCTGCTCTGAACATGGGTACACATCTATCACTGTGGTATGATTCTTTTAATTCCTTGGGGAAGATACTCAGTAATTTGGACTTCCAGTCCTAATTCTCTGAAGTATCTCCATACTGATTTCCCCAGTGGTTGCACCAGTCTGCACTCCCACCAGCAGTGGAGCAGGGTTCCTTTTTCCCCGCCAGCATGACAAAGTTTTTTGTTTTTTGTTTGTTTTGTTTTGTTTAGTATAAAGTCCTTTTCTTAAAAGAGCTGTTTTAATTTTTTTTCAAGTTAATGTCCCTGGACACACTTCTCAATTATGTCCCCTCCCACTGCTTGCCACCACTAATAAACAGCTATTAAACTGATGGTGGGGTGCGTTCACAGCCTGTTCACTATAAAATAGTAAAATCAGTGATATCAAAATAAGATAAAAAATGGTAAGGAAAAATGTAGCCTTTGTAAGAAAGGTTGTACAATATTTGTAAAAAAAAAAAGCAGTTAAGTAATTCTCACAGAGTTTCAGTCATGTATGATAATACAAAAAATATAAATACAAAACTATCATGTGAAGAAAGGTGTAAGGCTTTTTAAAAAAGTGTTTAAAAAGATTAGTTATGTTGTACTAGTTTCATAGTTAAGGGCTTCCATCCTCAGATCCTCAGACATTAACAAAGAAAGTTCTTCCCAAGGAAAGAAACATTTTGCTTGCTATCTACAAACATAGACTGCTTTGTTTCTGTCTTGTCCCTAGACCATTCTGGCTAACAGCGAGAAGGTAACATTTTGGCAGTTTCATAAATGCATATGTAAGACTTCAGATAAAAGAAAAAATGTCAATGCTATGATCAGACTTTCATTTTACAGAAAGTGTCAACTATTAATTGTCCTTCAACCTCGTGCAAAAGGCTAAAATAATTATCAATTATTTTTACAGTTTTTTTTTTCTTACTGTGTGAATTTTCAGCTAAATACATTTGACTCTACTTTATAAAAATGACTATTTCTGAACTGAAACAATGCTGGAGAAAGGGTGGAATAGTTCAGAATAAAGTAAAAGGGAGTTCTTGCTCAATCACCGTGAAGACTCAGTGAAGAGTCCTCTAACATATTTACGGCCCAATTCTTTCACTTACAGAACACTGAATTAACAACTTCTTTGCATGCTGTTACAAAGATATGAAAAACCTAAGCAAATCCATGTAGCAGAATGTTATAAAGGAGACAGTCTAAAGTATCAAGGTCACTTTCCCTGGTCTCATTTTGCTTGATATCTAGCATATGCAGCTTTGTAATTTTTATGTTGCTATAATGCACTTATAATTTTTATTTCAGTGGGTATGTCTCTGCATGTGTACCAAAATTTTCTTAAATTCTCAACTACTGGATGTTATTTTCAAACTCCTTCTACCCCTTCCCCTCCCTCTCTCTCTCTTCTTTCTCTGTACTAGGGATTAAAGCCAGAAAGCATTACACTATGAACCCAGCCCCAGCCCTTTGTCGTTCAGACCGGGTCTGGCTAAGCTGCCCTGCCTGGCCTCGAACTTGTCACTCTCCTTCCCAGTAGCTAAGATTACAGGCAAGCACCACCATGCCTGGACTATTTCCAACACGTTTTTTTTCTTTTCCAAAAATAATGTTGCAAATATAAGCTATGCCTGACCTTCAGAAACCTTTTAGTCAGGATGACTCCATACTTATCAAGAAAAATACAGATGGTCAGTTTCTAATTTTAAACAACAACCCAAATAAACATAGCTCTAAATTAAATGTGCATTGAAAAGTTCCACATTGGGAACTGAAAATAACACCACCTACTCCATCTTCCTAAAAGAACCCTGATACCACGCCACCGTTATTATCTTGAGTTCCTTGATGCCTGGACACATTTCTGAATTATGTCCCCTCACAGTGCTTGCCACAATTATCAATAAGTTCACAGCCTGAACTAGTAGAGATGCTAAGTAGATAAAATGTTCAGACTTCCTGCTGTCCTGAGTGGGAAGAGAGGAAACAGGGAGGGAGGACCACTGTTGGAGATCTTTCCATACCAACCAGAAATAGAGGAGGCCTAGCAATGGGGCTGAGAGAAACCAGATGGCTCTGTGGGATAGGCATTATTTCTTGAATCACTTTGTTGCCAAAGTGCCTGCACCTATGGCGTCTGTACCTACAACTGCAAAGCAAAGCGCTCATTAAAAACACTCAAAGGTTATAGAGTCAGAGGGCCTAAGGTCAAAACCAGCTCCACCACAGGGAAATGTGCACTTGAATAAGCGGGTGAGCAATTTAGACTCCAGTTTCTTCTGCAAATGGTGTAATAACTTGCTTCATAGGGTGGTTGTAGAGATTATAAAAGAATAAAACACAAAAATGTCTTTTCCCTTTTCTTTTACTCCTTTTCATCATTTCAAAGATTCAAACCAGAATCTTCTTGTGAGTGTACCTGAGCAACACTGAATCCAGATGCTGAGGAAATTTAAGTGGCTCTATCTTTACCAGCTTCCTAGCTTTCATTAGGTTAAGCCTATAAACGATGGCTATGAAAATAGGTGGTGAAGTACACCAACCTAGCCACATAAATAAACTCCATCATTTTTTTCTAAATTGCAGCCTGAGGTTCTTCTGTCCTTGGGAGTTGACTTCCTGTCATCAAATGATGAATAAAATTTTAGTATGTTAATATTATTCTATGAAAACACCATTAGGAAATTAAACCTGTTCTAATGAATGAATTCTGAATGCTAATTATAATTGTGTTTTTGTAGTAGCTATAATTTTGCATTATCCACAATAGCATGTTACTCATTAAACAAAAATAATCACAAATTGATATTGTGAAGATAATGTGAATAACAGATCTCAAGGAAGCTCATATATACTCATTAACTGCTCTCCCTAAAGAGTAAAAATATCTAAACTAAAAATGTGCATATGTAAGAACATCCTTCAATATTTTTAAGCAGATATACATTTTAGGTTCAGTTATATTTTAGTTTGAATGTAAATGTCTGTATTGATAGAAAAAAATTTTATTTTAAAAACCTACAAATATGTATTACATAATACTTAAAACATGATTGTTAACATCTTATTTGAGTGACTGGAAACTGATAAAATTTACCAACCATTCTGCTAAAATGTGATCTAAGTAACTAAGTATTCTGGACCTAGGTAACAGGTTTGAAAATTATTGACATAAGCATCACAAGTGATTGTTAAACATCTATAGGGGAAAAATGGATGCTGTTTTATCTCTTCAAGGACAGGGGTTTTATATTTTAATAAGGCTGTCATGTGGCTGGAAAGGGCCATGCTAGTTGCTCACTAGGTCAAATGCCTTCAGGTCTTCTAGCTTAGCCACACAAACTGGAATTCAGAAAACAGCCTGGGTATCATTCTGGTACCTGACAGAAATGCAGAATTTCAGGCCCCACCTACTGAATCAGAATGTGAATTTTAACAGATCCCCAGGTGCTTTGTATGCTTGTTAAAATTTGAGAAGCGCTGTTGTAAAGGTCACTTCTAGATCAAAGATTATATCATTTTACAGCTTTTGCGATGAAATTTCCTATAAGAGGTTGTAGCACGGAAAATGAAGTATGTCAGATTAAGTATCTATCCCCTTGTAAAGCAGAAGTCTTCTCTTGGCTATGCACTTATTTAATTCAGTGAATGCTCAAGTGAAATTTTATTAACAGAAGCTGTAAGCAATTAAATGTTATTAGATAAAATGAGAGGGTATGGAAGTAAGAGCATACTAAGGGTTTCTAAAAAGATTTTAAGACAACCTAGCTTTATAACTGAATGCAAGAATTTCAGGTGGCTGTCTGATTACATCCTAGTGTCTTTGCTGTCTGCTATCTGTCCCTAATGGGCTGGAGAAGAGAAACCCACCCACAACTGGTGCTGTCTGACCACACACACATTGCTTTTTACTGAACACGCCCAGTGGAAT